TCTCCTCCGGGAGCTCATTCCACCAGGTAGGGGCCACCACTGAAAAGGATCTAGTCCTGGTCCACGCGAATTTTACCTCCCGGGGACCCGGAACTACCAAACGGTTCTGGGTCCCCGACCGAAGTGCTCTTGGGGCATATTAGCATATGCAAATAAGTTATGCTAATAAGTTATGCTAATGAGCTCCTGCATCTCTTTTTCTACGAAATGACCCCTGGCTAACGGTAACCTTTTGCGGCTGTGCAAAGGGAAGGGCGCTCCCAGTTTTGAATCATTTACTAAAGTGTCTTTGGGGAGACGGATTTTGAAGGAAGCGAGGGCAGGCACCGTGCCTTGTAACAGAAGCAGATTCCGGGCATGAGGGGCAGCAAGCAACAGAGCCAATGATCCGGGCTCTGGGCCCGAGGGACAGAGATGAAAGGGAGGGAGTCCTTTCAGGGCCTGGAAGACCCGTGGGAGCAAGGAGAGAGGGCAAAGGTCAGAGACCTTGGGGTGCCTCAAAACAGGGCTGGGGGAGACGTTTGTTTCAGCTCCAGCGGAGCCGGGGACATACAGCTGTTGGGTGAGTGTGGGGGGGGGGAGAAAGGAAGAGTTTGGGTGGTGGAGTGCTGGGGAGAGGTGTCAAGCTGGTACAGTAGCAAGCAGGGATTGGTGGCAGCCACTTAAAGGAACACAGGCCAACGGGTTGGTGTAGTTTGTGAAGCGGCATACATTGGGTGGCCAGCCTCCCGGTGGGGCCTGGGGATCGCCCGCTTTTACAACTGATCCCCAGATGACAGAGATCAGCTCCCCTGGAGAAAATGGCTGCTTTGGCGGGTGGACTCTATGGCCCTGTACCCTGCTGAGGCCCCTCCCCTCCTCAAACCCCGCCCCCTCCTGGATCCATCCCCAAAATCTCCGGGTCTTTTCCAACCCCGACCTGGCAGCCCGAGGCATACAGAAAGGAAGGCTGTGTGTGTTTGCAAAGTCGTGGAGAAGCGGCAGGACTCAACAGCAGCTGACATCTGGGGAGAAGAGGGGGCGGGAAAGCGGCCCGGGATACAGCCCAGGGCTTGGTGCCTGGCCCAGGGGGTATGGAGGGTGGTGGACCCCCCCCTCACCAGGGCAGGTGCCCATATTGCCCATCAGGGGCGAATTCTGCAGATGACCCGCTGACTCACCACACAGAGAGAAGATGCCTGCCCAAAGGAACAGCGTCCGGAAGGGAAAGCCTCCCATCTCGACTCGGTCTCAGTTTATCTGCAGAGCTCTCCAGCGGTCAGCGTCTCCCCTTTATAAGAAAGGCAGTGATAGGCTGGGGCAGTGTGGGGGCGGGTGGTGTGGATGTTCAGAGTCTTATCAGATGGAATGTTTCAGCCCGTCCCAGCTGTTGCCTTTGGCAGGGACGCAACATCCTCCTCCTCTTGTGAAATCTGAACAAGCTCTGTGTTGTTCTTGGTGTGAACTCCGCTTGTCTTTTCAAACGGTGGCGTTTGGACATCTCCAGCAGGTCCTGGGCAATGCTCCCTCTAAGCCGTGGAGTCTTGTGAGCAAAACATTCTACTTTGTGAGCTCCTGGCATTCAAGTTGCGGGCAAGCAGTTGGGCTACCGCATAAATTGGTTTCCTCTGGAGTCATCCTTCCTGAGCTAAGATTAAAAAAGTGAGCCGGAGGCTAAAAAACTGAGCTAGCTCACACTAACTCAGCTTAGAGGGAACACTGGTCCTGGGATGGTTCCAAAGTTCGATTCCCCCCCCCCAGGCCAGCCTTTGAGAACACTTTCCCACCCAGTCGCGCCAACATCACCCATTCTGGATGAGGGCCAGGGTTGCCAACCCCAAGGTGGGACCTGGAGAGCTCCAGGAATCGCAACTCATCTCCAGACTACACAGATCTATCCCTCTGGAGAAAATGGCTGCTTAAATTAGGGTTGCCAGCAATGCTCCCTCTTAAGCTGTGGAGTCTTGTGAGCAAAATTTCTACTTTGTTAGCTGCTGGCATCAAAGTTGTGAGCAACCAATTTGACTACTGCAGAAATCAGTTTGCTCTGGAGCCATCCTTCCTGAGCTAAGACAAAAATGTGTGAGCTGGAGGCTAAAAAATGGTGAGCTAGCTCACACTAACTCGGCTTAGAGGGAACACTGGTTGCCAGCAGTGTTCCCTCTAAGCTGAGAGAACCTTCTAATCTGGGAGAACTGGGTTTGATTCCCCACTCCTCCCCTCGCAGCTGCTGGATGACCTTGGGCAAGCCATAGTTCTGTCAGAGCTGTTCCTGAAAAGAGCAGTTTCTGTCAGAGCTCTCTCAGCCCTGCCTACCTCACAGGGTGTCTGTTGTGGGGAGGGGAAGGGAAAGGAGTTTGTAAGCCACTCTGAGACTCCGAGTGAAGGGCAGGGTATAAATCCAATCTCCTCTTCTTCTTGTTCTTCCAGTTTTTTAGCCTTCAGGTCACACATTTTCGTCTTAGCTCAGGAAAGATGCCTCCACGTTATTAGCAATCGCACGAATCAGTCTAGCCCAGAATTGGAAGAACAAAAACCAACCCACCCTGCAATGTTGGCAAAATAAAATCTGGGACTACTTTGTATATGGCAAAATAGTCTCTCACCAAAACTCTTTTCAGGCAACTTGGTTCCCAGCAGTGAACTATCTCGTAGAAGAAGAAGTCATTCCTAGCAATAAATACTATAAAGATCTGTTATATTGCTAAAGGGTCATTGAAGGTTACTAAAAGACAATTAATGTATGCTATAAAAATGTGTTATAAATGTTGTACTGTTGTATATAATGTTCAAAAATAAAAAACACTTATTTAAAAAAGAAAAGAAGGAAGGATGGGGCTCCAGAGCAAACTGATCTATGCAGTAGCCAAATTGCTCGCTTACAACTTTAATGCCAGGAGCTCACAAAGTAGAATTTTTGCTCATCAGACGCCTGCTTACAGGGAGTATTGGCTGCCAGCTCTGGGTCGAGAAATACCTGGAGATTTTGGAGGCGGAGCCTGAGGAGGGCGGGGTTTGAGGAGGGGAGGGACTTCAATGTGGTATAATTGCCATAGAGTCCACCATCCAAAGCGTCCATTTTATCCAGGGGAATTGATCTCTCTTGCCCAGAGACCAGCTGCAATGCCAGATCTCCAGCCACCACCTGGAGGATGTAACCAGCAAAACAACCGCATGTAAAAAAATTGCTTTACCTGAACAAAGATAATTAAACTACTCAAGCTATTTGATGACGATTAATTTTATATCCTATACATGATTTATAAATACAAAGTCCAAAGCTATTCATATACCCACAATATCAAAATTCAAATTCTCAAATCATAGGGCAAAACGCCAAATGTTCCAACAGTCCAACATAGGTTCATAAAACACTCTGTTGAAGGTGCTCGGGTCGGGTGTCTTCCCTTTTCAGAAACAGAAGCCACGTTCCAAGTTGAAACTAGACAACTGAGCCGCGACACTGATATCCAAAGATGGCGGTCCTGACGAAGTCCTCCTCTCCACGCATGCTGGCAACGTTGTCCCACATTTTGCCTGACAGTTTTTCAAGTCGGAACCGCTTTCTCAAAACAGGATATCACTATAAAATGAATTACACAAAGTCTTAAAAATGCAATATACTTCAACATGCCTTGCTTACAAGCAACTACAGCAATTTAAACAAACAGAGGCTGAATCCTGACAATTAAGTTAAAATTTACATTACCTGAAGCCAAAACTCAGGCATATTCTTCCAAAATACCTATTCAAGGCTTTCTTCTGGTTTGTAACTGCTCTTAGCTTGAACCATACCTATCATACACATTGAAATACCTACATGCAGGGCTCTAGTCGGGGGGGAGCTCTCAGGTACGGAGCTCTGGAAGAGAACCTCTAGGGGTCGGGGCGGTCACGTGGTGAAGCCCCGCCCCCTTCTTTACCCCGCCCTCTGCTTCGATCCTCATTCCGTTTGGGAATGAGGATGAAGCAGGAGGGTAAGTAGCCGGGCCTTCTGACACACTTCCGGTGATGTCAGGGGGTGTGGCCTTCTGTCACTTCCGGTGATGTCAGGGGGCGTGGCATATGCAAATAAGTTATGCTAATGAGTTATGCTAATGAGCTCCGGCAGCTCTTTTTCTACAACAAGACCCCTGCCTACATGTAACTCAATTCAGGTGTACAGCCTCTGTTAGACATCCAGCCTTTAAAGGTACAGTACAACCTAGCAGTTCGAAAGCAAGAAATTGCAAGTAGATAAATAGGGACCACTTCAGTGGGAAGATAACAACGTTCCGTGTGCCTTGTTATTTAGTCATGCTGGCCACATGACCACGGAAACGTCTTTGGACAGCACTAGCTCTTCAGCTTTGAAACAGAGATGAGCGCCGCAACCCTAGAGTCGGATTTGACTGGCTTTCGAGCAAGGGAACCTTTACCTTTTACAACGAATGTATAACCACTTAAATAAAGCAGGATAAATCATTATGTTGATTCAATCCCAACGGGGACAAAGATTGTAGTCTAAAAATCCATTGTGCCTCAAGTTGTAGCTACTTTTTATTAACGTCAATAGTGGGAAATCATCTGCCATGCAATTTGCAAATAAAAAATCTTAAAGAGTCAGCATTATGGAGGTGTGAGACAAAATATTTGCTCATGGGATCCTCCATAATTTTATTCCTGATGAGTGAGCGATGTTCCAGGATCCTAACCCCAATGGGTCTAATCGTACTTCCAACATATAACTTTGAACATGGGCAGAAGACCCCATACATGGTTCTCCTCATGTTGCAATTGGTGAAATCTCTCAGCTGTACTTTAAAACCAGTGTCTGGATGCATAAATTCTTTAATCTCTACTGCCATTCCACAAGCCACACAGGTCCTGCAGTTATGATGCCCGACTGGACCCTCCCTGGCCTGATTGTCACTCAACATATCAGATTTGATTGGTGGCGATGTGCTAAGGTACAAAAATATTGGAAGAAAGTCCAGATAATTACAAGAGAGGTGCTACAGGTGGAGTTACCACCTAGTCCTGAAATCTACCTGCTAAATATGGTCCCAAAGAAGTTTGATAAAAATGAGGTTTATGTGTTGATGTATATCTTGACGGCAGCAAGAATCCTTTGGGCCAAGTATTGGAAATCGGATAAGATACCTCAGCAG